AACAAAAATCAATCTATGTTTATTTGCCTTAAAATACATAAAAAATAATGCAAATGAAAGGGAAAACTTTAACACAATTGTGAGATAGTGTAGTAGATTTATGTCTTGGAATAATTTAGTTTTACTAGGAAAAACAAAAGATTTGCAAAGGCTTCGAAAGATTTGGACAGCAAGTTGATAAGTTTCCAGAAGTATGTTATTGACCTATGAAGGTGAGAAATTTTTTGCTGTCACATATTAGAAAGATAATGAAACTTCAGTAATGTATAATATGATAGGAAATAAAACAATTGATGTGAAAGGAACAAAAACAGTTCACATAATGACAAGTCACAAAAAATCTCGCCTCATCATAATGCTTACCTACTTAGCGGATGGTACATAATTAAAACTCATGGCTATTTTTTAAAAAAAGGTGATGCCAAAATGGGATTTCTTGAATGGTGTTTTTTATTCATATTCACGAGAAAGTATGGATTGACGAAAATGTTGTGAAATTGTGGATGAGAAATGTTTGGCGAAAGCATCCTGTTGCTTTAAAGAAACCATAAAGTCATTTAGTTTTGTACATATTTCTATCCCATCTAATGGAAAACATAAAGAAATTGTTGAAAGAATGAAATACAGGCATGGTAGTTATTCCAGGCGTATTAACACCATATGTTCAGCCTTTAGATGTGTGTATCAATAAACCATTCAAAGAAAATTTAAAATAGAGGAATACATGGATGTTAAAGGGTGAGAAAACATTTACAAAAGTAAGCTAACTATGTCATGCCAGTCTAGAAATAGTGTACGAGTGTAAAAGCATGGGATGAAAGTAATCCCGACAGAAGAATTCAGAAGTCATTTAATAAATGTATTATATTTAACAATCTAGGTGGAACAGAAGATGATTATTTATTTATGGATCAGTGATAGTGACAATGAAACAAAATTTGGTGATGTTCCTGAAGATTTAATGGAAGAGGAATGTGATGAACTTTTCATGTTATTTGACAGTGAATTTTAAATTTTATATCATTTGAATCACCTTTAGACAGTAGTTTAATTTTTGTATTCTCATCCTTATTTTTTCTCTTTTTTATATCCATTATAAGTGCAATTTGATAATTTTTTGCATTAACCCTTTGCGGCATGGTGGGTCAATATATGTCCCACCTAATTAATATTTATTTTCTCAGTTAGCAATTTCCGTTAGAAATTTTCTAATCTTTTAAAAATAATCTATTTTAGTTATTATTTTTCTCAGTAGATGTTACTACTATACCAGGGCTTAAGTTTATAAGCAAAAAATATTCAAAATAGGATCACAAGAGTGATATCCATGTATCTCGCATTTTTCAATATTTTAAAAATTTTGGTATACAATTTATGATATGTATGATTCTTTTTAATATTCAAAGGTATTTTATTTTCAAAAATCTTAATTGGATTCAATATTTTATAACATTAATTTTGCAGTTGAAATAAGTGGGTTAAAATTTGTCCCACCACACACTTGAATTTCCGCTCAATAGATGGCAGCACTCACGATTATTTTTTCTTTTCTTTTTTGCATCTACTTTTTTTCGTGATTGCGCGCGCTTTTACATCCGTTGTATGCTCTGATGTGCTAAAATGTCTAGAAAAAAATTAACAACTCAGGAAGCTTTGGATCTTTTTGCTGAATTGCCATCCGATTGCGACTCAAATGCTTCAGATGTCAGTTCTGATTCAGATGAAATTGAAATCCAGGAGAGAATAACTGAGGTTGAAGTTATTGCTGAAGAAGAAAGGGAAGTAGTTATAATTTGTTTCGCTTTTTAAAGACACAGACCCATCTATGCATGTGCACTGTAAATATGAATCGGAAGTATCTACCCAAAATCAAAATTTAAAAGACAAATTTATGTCAAGAGAATATATAGACTTTTCAGTTAGCGATGATTCAATTTATTGCATAAAATGGAAGGATAAAAGATCCGTTTCTATCCTGTCTTGCTTGGAAAAGGCAACTGAAATGAAAGAAATTAATAGAAAAGAACGAGATGGAAAGACAAAAAAAAAAAAAAAAAAAGTACTGTGCCCAAACAGCATTATTTCATACAATAAGAATATGGGATATGTCGACTGATTGATCAACTGAAAGGACTATATGAAATAGACCGCAAAAGCAAGAAATGGTGGCACATGATTTTTTTTTTTTTTTTTACTTTTTAGATGCGAGTATAGTAAACACATTTATTCTATTTAAGTTTGTTCGCGAACCTGATCATGATGTAAAAACAATGAAAGATTTTTCTTCTCTCTCTCAGTTACAGAAGGTCTAATGGCACTTGCAGGCAAGAAAGAGCTGAAAAGAAAACTGAAATCCCCAGTTCAAATAAAAACTAAAAACCCGTTCGTACAACCAGAAAAGAGACTAAAAAATGTAAGTACAAACGCCAAAGAGAACGAGCAGGAGAAGATGTGCATATTGCAGCATATCGAAAGAAGAACGACGAACATTTTGGATGTGTGAAACATGTGAAGTGCCTCTATGCTTACAAAAGAATGAAACAACATGTTTTTCAAAGTTTCATGAAAAATGACTTTTTTTCAATTTTAATCATATATAAATGTTTTTGAATCAAGTGCCAATTTTAATATTTTATTTAGTATCATATGTACGAGTATCAAATTTTAATCTTAAAATAATATTCAAGAAAATATTTTCTTTTGTTCCTAAAATTTAAAAATATTAAATATATACTATGCAAAATGTGCATATGCAAAATTTTACAAGTCATGCATATATGCAATAAGTACAAAATGCATTTTAGTGTGTTTATTATGAATATTTTAGAATGCACGCTTTATTTTGTTTATTCATTCCACATATAATTTTTTTTTTTTTTTCCTGCTATACACCAATATGCTATAAGACATGTGCTAGTTGCATGGTGGGGCAAACGGTATCCCACCTTCCACCGTAAAAAATAAAAGCGCAGAATTTTTTTCAAGCCTTAAAGGCACTTAAGTAAGTCCATCTGACTTATTCTAAGGCATTTTTTTTAAAGATTAAAATATATTTTAAATATGCGTGTCGCAAAGGTTAATTGCATGTTACGGTGAAAGAAGTATTTTTTCAATTTTTTGTAAAAAGGTAAGATTTTTAAAATAAACATTGTTTCAAAGAACAATTATTATTATTAATAATTTATTAAAACATATTTTTTGTGGGATATTTTTTGTCCCGCTCATTTTTTGAAGCATTAGGTTCTAAATAAACATCTTGTTTGAACACAGCATTAATTATTCAGACCAAATCCCTAAAGAAAGAGGCAAGGGAGTATTATTAAACAAAAATTTTTATAAAATAAATATTTTTATTGTTTTAATATTACTAATAATATGCAAACAATAATTTTAAGTTCACTCAAGTTGAGTGAATAAGATTGCTGAATGTTGTTAGTTTGTCCTGCATTTGTTACTGGCAACTAAATAGGAAAGCTGATTGTTCTCTTTATGATTTTCCCCATGCTTAACATGAATTTAAGCTACTGAAAAAAATTCTCCATGAAGGCATTGTGTTACAACAGATAGCCTATGACTATTTTATAAAAATAATCATTGGATGATTTTTCTTATACGATAACATGAGCAAAAGTATTTTCTCTGGTAAAATGTATGTATCAGCACTGCTTATTGGCTGCCATTAAATTGAACGTGTCAGTCTTATTTTTTAGACTACTCTTCATTTTTCTAAGAAAGTTTTGCGAGTAAAAAGTTCTATTTATAATCTGTCATTTTATTTTGTTCCTTTTTAATGTAAATAAACAGTTTAAGATACAGTACAAAGTCTTTAATCCGGACTTGTCTCGCCGATTCTGGATTAGGGGCTTTTCCGAATTATAGATCATCAATTTAAATCTGGTAAGATGTCATACAGAAATTATACGATTAAAGATATGAAACTGTAATTTATGAAATAAATAGCAATTATGATCTAAAGGGTATCAAAATTTAATAAAAAAAAGCTTAATATTTATTTACCTTATTAAACATTTCTTTCAACACGTGCATGCGTAAAGCCTACACTAGGCATATTTGAAATTAGAAAATTGCAACCAGAAAACTATTTGATGTGTATTCGTGATATTTATAATGATGAGGAAATTAATTTAAATCATATTGGAGTAGTACATCGCGATGAAACACTACATTTAGTAAGGAATTATAAGCTGAATAAAATAAAAACATCTGCCCTGAAGATGAGGATAGTGCTGGCAGATCAACTTCCAGTTCATTGCGAGCCACGACGAGGATAGTCCCCATGTGCTTTACCATAATCCAAAATCTTAAGCTTAGAAAACTCTTATCGTAGCCGGATTGAGTTGATGATAATATATTTTCTGGTTAGTGTATCAAGTTAGCATACTTGTGTATCTCTTTCTTTCAAAAACTGTTTGGCTCATGTTACTCTGTAATGAAAAAAGATTCAGATTATTTTTTAGGTTTTATATAGTATTTTCAATATTAAAATTATCATCAGTTACATTAACAGTATTACTTTACTTACAAATCGTATACCATATTTATGAATATATGCCTCAATGTTAATTGCAGGCATGCATTCATAAATATGGTATACGCAAAAGCTCCCACTAATGATTATGATTAATTTTTGTATGAAATTTTATATCCAAAATTTAGATTAGGATTTTTATGGCAAAATATGCGAGGACTAGATGCCTAAAAGGAGTTAAGTCTTGTAAATGATGTTTGGCGGGAGACAACTTGTAATACGTTACACATGAAGGAAAATCACAAAATGTCGCCTGCAATTAACCAATATGTCAGGATTTTAACTTGTTCAAATTATCAGTCTTCAGCAATCTTACCAATCAGTGCTGATGGGTCACATGTATTTGAAAAAGTGCTTGTGTATTATAAGATAAGAGAGAAAAATTTAGAAATTGAAAACGTAATACATCATAAAACAGTCCAGTAATACTTTATGCTCTTTTGTAGATATACAGAAGACAGAAGCAAGTTTTCATCAGTATTCGTTCATCAAAGGAAAAGTTTCCATATGAAGCTGTTTTTTGAAAGGTGTCACTATATTGATTAGTAATACAAAAGCAGCACAGGAATTGTTTTCCCTCACATCCAACCAAAGAGCTGTGAGGATGATTAACACACAGTGGGTAGCTAGGATTATTTGACATTACATGCAGTTTTCTTGTATATGTAAAACAAAATAAACTTTTACATATTGAATTTGAAAAACTTGCAGAAAGAGAGAGAGAGTAGAAATATTTACTATACATTTTATTGGTGTCTGACTGATAGCTTTTGGAACAGTAAGTCTTCCTGTCATTTAAGCTTTAACACATTTAAATACGGATGCTTCTTGAAAGCCATTAGGGCAAACCATAGCCAAAGATAAAAGTGGCATCCGCTGTGTTAGAGAAAAAGTCTTATGATGGTGAAATTGGTCAGTGTCCACCTCAACAGGTCTGTCAAACAGAGGCAAAGCAGTTCAGTGATCTCTTTTACCTGCTGAATCTAGTTTCTTAAAAAAATTTCACAGAAACTTGGGGTTTTCATCTGCAAAGAACCCGTTGGCGCTTCGGCAAAGAGCCTGTTGGCGCCATTGTAGTTTTACTCGACAAGCTCCCCAACGGTTGATCGTCGCCGAGGATGATCAGCGTACACATGGATATTAAACACATAGTTCACAGATGCAGCATTAAAAACTATGTCAAATATTAGTCACTAAGGATGTATGGCTTAGGTTTTTCATGCCATCTGTTTTGTTGTATTTCATGCTTATGACTCCATAAGAAGACTTAAGGTGAAACAAATGTTATGTCACAAGCAGTGACACTGAGATGCTATTTCACATATAACTGAGAAGTACAGCACTAATTAGCACTGTAATTGTTAAAGAAAGTATCTTGGCTTGTAAAAAGCTTCGTTGCATGTAATGTGAACTTAATAACTTTATCATTTTAAAATTAAGAAGGGTTTGTGTGTACTTAATTCAATATACAAAGCATGTGAGAGCTAGCTGAAAAAGGCATGCTTTTGTGAATATTTTCTAGGGTAAATAGGCTCATGGAAAACACGAAACACAAAATTCACAAAAACATACGAAAAAAATAACCTGCACAACCAGCTCGTTTTTTCAGGATTTGAGCCGAGATTGAACTACCACTATTCAGCCTTCTTAACCACTCGTAGGACTAAATAAAGTAAATATGTAATATCATGTAATCAAAAGTTAACTATGTGTTGTGTAACAGGATTGCTTTCTCAAGTATCGAGGTAGGAAATACTTAATTTATTTTTTTTTAAGTGTTTGGTCATGGTATTATTCATTACATGTACTTTTCCATAATTCATATAGAATATTAATATTTCTACTACAAGTGTCTTTTTTAATTTTTAAGTGTTTTGCTTGTTGATATTCTCAAAATTGTATCTGATAATTAGTATAATAGGTATAAATACAGTAGACATATATAATCGATCAGGGGTGGCTAACTTTATGTCAGTGAGAACCACAACTGCATATTTACATCATTCATAGTGGTGAAGTAGGTTTCAGACAGCAAGAAATGTCGATTCCAAACAATCATTCAGTGACAGTCTTAGTTCAATAAGAGCCATGTGCCTGTAATAAATTAATGAATGCATGACTTTTAATGACTTTTAATATTTTACATAATTTCATTTTTTAGTTTTTTGTTATTAATACATCCATTTTACATAAACAGTTTTCAATGTTATTTTTTTCAATTTACTTGTAAACAGTTTAAAGCATTTTATGTTGAAACAACTGCCTGTCTTTCATAGTATATTTGACAGTGCCAATAATTTTCAGTATTGAAATTCTATTCAGTAGCATTGTTAATAAAACTTTTCTTTTGAAGAGTCATTTGCACTTGGATTCATTACACAAGTAGTGGTTTGCTAATTTTGATGACTTTGAGTATCCATAAAACTATTCTGTCATTTTAGAGAATCAATAATACTTTTTTATTTCAGTTTAATCATCTCTTTGTGTGTCACACCTGAAATCTTCTCAAATGTTATTGTTGGAAAAGCATTAACAATATATATCTGGTTAAAGTTTTAAGCCATAAATATTGTTTTTTTCATTATTTCAGATGACAATAACCGATATTAAAAAATTCCTTAATTAAGTTCCAAGAAGTCAAAATATTTTAGCCCAAGAAGGCAAAATATTATTCGGCCCAAGAAGTCAAAATATTTTAAGGGTTGGAAACCTCATGGTTCTGCATGCTACGTTAACAGACGTCTTACCAATTATTGACCCCCATCCCGCCATATTTTCTTTTGCGAACTAGCATCTGTTACCAAAAACTTCCTTAATTATATGGAAATATTTCTATTTATTTATTGTTAAAAGTTCATAAAAATAATGCGAAAATACGAAAAAATAATAATAAATAAGTGAAGAATAATCTAAATCAGCAAATGCGAACAACAATGGTGATAATTCAACAAAATGAACGTTAGAGGAATGGTTACAACCTTCAAACAAGCGAATAGTTTGAATCTGCCAGGTTACCAGGTTTTGAACTATTATCGCCAAAGTTGGCAATGTTTACATTTACCGGTTGGATGTTTACATTGCTTCCAAAACTTGTATGAAAAAACAGTTTTTATACTTCTCAGTACAGTCTGACAGCAAAATTTTGTTATTTTTCATATATACAAGTAAAAAAGTTGTTTTTAATATAGAATTAAAAATTAATGAGCTTATTTAAATTGTTTTACACAGCACTGAGTAAGGGATAAAATTTAATTTTTTTTTGTATACATTTTTCTCAGAGATTAAGAGTAATGTGATGTGACAAGAATCATGCGTAAGTGCATGCGTTTTCAAATCAGATTTAATATACGTATATGAATATACTAAACAAGCACACGTTCGCAGATATAAAATATATGTTAATACATAAAATGAAAGCAAATTTGAAAATAATGTAATTTAGAAAGTACCATATTAAAAATTGTTATTTTTTTTTTTGTTTGTTTGTTATATGCATTTATTTGGTTTTTATTTTGTTATATGCGTTTATTAGTCTTTTTAGCAAATTTTGTTAGATTATTTGAATATAGCAAAGCAAACGAGACTGTGGATTTGATGAATAAGCGAAATCAAAACTGATCAGCCAGAGCATTTCATAAGTGAAATAAATGCTTATATTGCTTTTAAAAGAAACAGCATATTTATTTTTACAGTTTCCGTTCTTGTTTGCAACATGTTACTTATTTTTTACATGGAAATATAGCAAACTTTTAAGAAATGAAGCTTACGCAACGCTTATCAAGGAACACTCCAAGTAACGACATTTTCAGCTCAACCTATTGTTGCCACACCAAATCGTAATAACTATTCAAAACATTACATCATGTTGCCACTTAGGAAATCTTAATAATTATATAGAAACATTAAATTACGTTCCGCTACATTACTCCTCCAATAACTGGGTTACGATTTAACAGATTCTGGTAGTGGAGTAATGCAGCCTAAGCTAACATTAGAATGAAAAATACTAAATACAATAAATAAATAGAATTACAATTAAACATATTCAATAACAGAGGTTAGGAAAAATATTTCAACATTGTTACTAAAACGTAAAGGACGTTTTATTAGTCGTCCAGTTCGTGAGACTCGAGACCGTTCATCATTGGTCTCAGATTTTAACAAAGTCTGAGTTTTGGGCTGGGTGTGTCAGAAGTTTCTGGTTCCAGCCGTTGCTCACCTGCTATTAAACAATAGGCTGGCTTCAGCCTGTCAATCGAAATGTTTTCTTCCTTACCTTTGATTTGTAACAAGAAGTATTTTTCCATTCTTTTAAGTACTTTGAAATGTCCTTCATAACTAGGTTCTAATGGTTTCTTGACTCTCAGTTCTTAGGAAAACACGAGTACACACATTTAGATCTTTATAGACAAAAACTTTAGGAACCATTTTTCGATGTACCGCAGAGGGCTTGAACAATTCCATTTGTTTTTGCAATTTATGCAAAAATGTTTGAGAAACTGTCAGTGTTGTAGAAACTGTCAGTTTATCAAAAAATTCTCCAGGAAGTTTGATTGTTTTCCTGTAAACCATTTGTGCAACGGAATATCCACAGTCTTCTTTTAAGGCTGCCCTAAGACCTAGAAGAATTGTTGGAATGGATTCGGACCACTTGGAATTATGACATTTGATAGCAGCTTTCAAAGTTCGATGAAATCTCTCAATTTTGCCGTTACACTGTGGATGATAGGAAGTTGTGCGTTGAATTTTGACTCCACATATAATTGCCAATTTTCGAAATAGTTCAGAAGTAAACTGTGCTCCATGATCCGTAATAACTTGGTAAGGAACTCCAAAACGTTTGATCCAATTGTCATAAAACGCTCCGGCAATGGTTTCTGCTGTTATGTCATGCAAAGGAATGGCTTCCATCCAACCAGTATAACGATCAATGCAAGTCAAGCAATACACAAAATTATCAGATGGTGAATAAGGACCTATTAAGTCAGTGTGAACTATAGTAAAACATTCATCAGGCTGCTGATAAGTTCCTAATGCAGATTTTGTATGATGTGAAACCTTATTCTTTTGACAACCAATACAGGCACGACTCCATGTTTGTATAACCTTTTTGATATTTGGCCAAATAAATTTGGATTTTCTTTAACGTTCTTTAACGTCATTTCTTTAACGGTCGACTTGATTCCTGGATGAGCGAGGCCATGGATTTGTTGAAATATATCCATTTTAAACTGCTTGGGTATAAATGGTCTAATGTTAGAAGAAGACCTATCACACCACAGATTTTTACCAGATGGAAGTAAATAACTTTTGAAATTTAATGTTTTATTTTGAGCTTGTAAATCTTGTAATTCTTTATCATTAACTTGTTTGTCAGCAATTTTATCATAATCAATGAGTGAAATAGAGAAATCGGCTATTTTGGATAACTGATCTGCAACAATGTTTTCACTTCCACTAATATGGTATATGTTAGTAGAAAATTGAGATATATATTGCAATTGGCGCATTTGTCTTGGTGAAACCTTTTCGCTCTTTTGTCTGAAAACATGAACTAGTCGTTTATGATCCGTAAAAATTTTGAAATCGCGACTTTCTAACATATGTTTAAAATGTTT